CCACTGCCTTTGGGAGCACATCTAAAACCTATTTTGATGTTGGAGAAGGTATTGTGACGATATGGTGATGAGTGAAACATCTCCTGTTGGGGACTGAAGTGGTTGAAGGAGCCTCCCAAGACATTCAGCACAAAGCCTGCAGTGAGGATTTGAGCTGCCAGAAATTGCACAAATCACTGTAGGGCTTGCTCTGAGCTGTGAATAGGGGAGGATTGAAAGGGATTGTGGAGATGTTTGTGTAAAGTTTGAGGATTTTTAAATATTAGAAAATTGCAATAGTGCAGAAGCAGTGTTCAAAACAAAGAGCAGAGGTGGGTGTGGTAATTGTTGAGGATTATTTATGACACCCAGACCTAGAAGCCTGGGGTTTTTTTAAACCATTGTTCATCTATAGCAGGGAGGGCCTGAACTCAATGCAGATTCATTCAAGGGCATGATAGTTTGAACCTGCTTTCTGCTATTGCCCCACCAGCCTCCTCAAGGAGGGGAGAGAAGAGGGTCCCACTGTTAGCTCTCTAAGCGTAACTTCAGATCGGTGGGAGATGCCTACAAGAAGAATGTGAAAGAAGGGGACAGGGTGCAGGAGTAAGCCTGCTCTGGGACACAGGTGAAAGATGTTTATGCAGGTCTACATGGTTATGTTCTCCAGGAGAATGAGGATGGCAGCTGGGAGGATGGCACAGAAAGGCAATTACTTTTTTTAAAAAATCTCTTGTCATTCACAGGTTACACCAAAATGGGAAGCCCTCTCACACCAGGCCTGTCATGGATGAGAGAAACATGCTGAATGTGTTATGATCTTATTGCATAAGAAAGTTTAGGATGTAGCTCAGGACGAATGATAGTATGTTTGTGCTGTAGGAGTAACCTGCTTCGTACTGGAGGTTGCTGGGGGTGGAAACCTGGACAGTTTAGGAAAGGATCTGGTGTTTTTGAGGATCAGAAGTTGAACATAAGTCAGTAACTCCATCCTCTTTGCAATGTACCTGCAAGGCCTCAACTGGAATGGGGTGTGCCCAGTTCTGAGCACCACGTGTTGGAGGCAGAGCAGGGGGCAGCTGAGTGGATGGGGATGGCAAAACATATCAGAGCTGTAGGAAAAGTGTGACCTGTGAGGGGCAACTGAAGAATCCAGAGCTCTTCAGACTCTGAAGGGAGGTGTGAAGAGCCATTTTCAAAAACATAGGTTTCTGCAGCAAGAAATAACCCGTTCACTATGCCTGTGATGGATGGGAGAGGAAATAGCAGGATAAAATTGCAGTAAAGGAGACAGGATAAACAAAAGAAGTGTAGGCATCGTGAGACACTGAAATCCATTACACAGGGAGCTCGTGGAGTCTCTGATTGTGAAGGTGTTGAAGATTCAGTTCAGCCAACCAGTTGGGGTAACACAGGTCTGCTTAGCTCAGTTTTGAAGGGAGAGGTGGATAATTCAGTCTCTAAATACCTTTCTGTTCTCCATTTTTCTGTGGTCTCCTAACACTGTTGTATGTGTGAGTTGTAGACTAGAGGCATGGTTTGGTAAGGCAGCAGATGGCTGGAGCACGTGAAATGTAAGAATGTCAACTCAAAACAGCTTTTAAAGCAAAGGATGAGGAGTATAAAATTGGGGTAAAGGTCTAGTAATGTAAATAAAATTTTAAAAATGGAAAAAGTAATTAGAAGATAATTGTTACTTGCCCTGTTCCTCAGTATGCTGCCTTTTTGGTCAGGAGAAGTAGTTATGTGAGTTTGAGGCTAAAGGCTTGTGATCACAAGTGTCTTGTGAATTTTGAGTGGCTTTTCTGAAGGTTCAGCCTCCAGCAACTGAATCCTCAGGAGTGCTTTGCTTAAGGGAGGGACAAGAGAAGGAAGAAATGTTTTCTTCCTTTACCTAATAGCCTGTAGGGTCCTGCCTCATTTTCCTTGAAGGACAGGAGTTGGTTTTATGGGAAGCAGCTGGAGCTTGTTGAGAAAACTGCCCAGGTAAATAACACAGGAAAAAGAGGAAACCGGCAGGACAGCCAATTGACTGCTAAAAGGTAAAACAAAGGTGTAATGTTGGCATGCTAGTAGGGTCAAAAGACAAATACAAGAGAAAGGATGAAAACTGATACCTGTCCATGTATGCACATAGTCTGAGAGCATTACTTGATGTCTGGGGAACAAATATGAAAATGTGGAGGGCTTAAGATACGGTAAGAAAGTTGCTTCATTGAAAGTAGCGATTTATTTGTGTCAATGGGTTCGGAAGGATGCATGAACACACTATCTATTCAGATAATCCAGACAAAAACAAGCAATAGAAAGAAAAGATATATTGAGGAGAAAAATCTCAAGTCTCTAGATTTAAGACAGTGAAAGAACAGAAAAATAAGTGAAAAATAGGTGTGATATCACTGCAAAATAATGATGCCACCTTGTAGAAAATGCAGTAAGATGTCTAATGTGTGCCTAAACTTTACAGTAGAGAGTACACAGAATAGAGATTTGGCCTGCTAATGATATCTTTGTGTGGGTACTGTCAACTCTAATAGATTGGCTCTGGGGCTGCTGCAAGCCCTGTTGTTTATGGTTGTTTGGTAACTCATCAGTCTAGTAGTGAATCAGTGCAAAACTCTTAGGAGGGAGGGAAGAAGGGAGAGTATGGGTGGGAAAGTCTTCCTCACTCCAACCCCATATCCATCAGAAGTGCAAGAGCTGACTGTCCACAGAGATGAGTTTGCCTCAGTATCTGTCCCTTGCTGTCAGCCCTGGAAGAGTGCAAGTGACTGCCTCCTTCTAAATGGGCCAGCGGTTTCAATATGGATCACACATCAGAGTGTGCTGCCTGGGCATTGGCATCCTGACTAGAGCTTTGTGGCTTTCTTCAAGGATTTCAGTGCACACCTGAACATCAGCTTTGCTGGGCTAGCTCTTGACTTCTTTGAATGAATGGCCTCCCTGCATTTTACATGGTGTGAGCGCTCCTCTCTGGACAGTCAAGAAATACATCTAGAGAATTTGGTGCATCTTTGACCTTGTGCCAGAGGGGTTTCGGCTCATTCAGTTGCGCAGGTCATCCCCATTTTAGCATGGAAGCTATTTCACGCCCATAGCAATATCAGGAGTCAATGTGAGGATTTGGTGTGATCTCATTCCTTTTGAAAAGACTAGTCAAAAATCTGCTAGACCAGCCTGCCAGCAGGTGACATGAGAACAACTCCCAAGCACACAGGGTTTTGTGTCCTGAAAAAAAAATAGAATTGTAGACTAAAAAAATAGGATGTGCTGAGGCTCCAGCCCAAAACTGGTCTTATTTCCAATAAGGGTTTTAACTGCATGAACAAAACCAGCTATCCTCTCAGTCAAAAAATATCACAATCTAAGGACCTTGGAGGGAGAGTGCAGGAGAGCTGTTACAATTAGTGCGCAATCTCATTAGCCTGTACCATTTTCCCCCAGTAGGCACTTGCTTGATTTGATTATAACAGTGAAGATATAGTGCAGTTTCAAAAGACGGACAAGTCCTGGATTATCTGAGCTCACCAAAGCTGTCCCCTGTGGATCAGACCCCTATATGTATTGTTTCCTTAAGGCAAGTAAAGCATCAGAAGTGACTTTATTGGCAGTCGGTGCTACATGCTGGGAATCTGCCAAGATTAATATACACAACGTTCCCCTCCCCACCTCCTGCTTTCAAAAAGTAACCAGCATAAAAGTGTTATTCAATTACTGTCCAGTCAGAAACTTCATGGTGTCAGAATTCATTACTAAGCCGACAGTGGTTATTAACGATGTACGAAGTTGCATGCTTTAGCGTATCTTTGGAAATGATACAGATGTGTTTATTTGCAGATGACTGGCTAATTTTGCTTTGAATCTGTAAGTAATCTGCAGAGAACATATGTAGCAAGTGGCTAGGTATAATTTATTCATTGTTCCTTTAATTGTTCTCTTTGTCTTTATTGCATATTGTCAGATTTTCAGCTGCTGTTAGCCCATGCAGCTGAAGATATAATTCCTTTAGCACTTTTCAAATGGGCAGGGGATTCATCTTTTCTCAGAATTAATTGATTTACTACAACTACTGTCTAATGCAATACTATAGAATGTGTTAAAACCTTATAAAAACTTGAAGTACTGCTCTGAGAAAAGCACATTCAACTCATTTGCAGTATATATGTAGAGTGTCGGTCTTTTTTGGTTGATGGCATGAGAGAAAATATAATTTCTAGAAATTCACCATCATTTCAAACAATAAACTGAAACAGCATCAGTTAATACTACTGAAGAAAATCAACAGTGTCATTTGATACCTCTGAGTTAGAGATGATGAATTAAAATTTCAACGTCTCCATTTCTCTGTAAATTGTAGACTGACAACAGTTAATGTCCTAACTAAACATATGCAAAAAAAGCACCAGTTATTTTACCAGAACAGGTATGATTCCTTTTTGACCAAGTGCTATTTTGTATATTGTTACCTTTAACACCTTTTCTTTCCAATGGGATCTTTCTCTCTTTTTCCCAAGTCACAAATTTCTCATACAGCTCTTTTGCACCATAAATTTGGAGGTCCAAACTTTCTCGGGAATGTAATGTTATTCTGGGACTTGGTCTGCACTTCTGATAATTTCACTTTAAAAGAGTTATTGTTTGCTGCCTGACCACTTTGCTGTCTCAGGTGAAGTTGCAAATTCCTGCAGGACAAATTTTGATGTTTTTGAGAATCAAATTCCAGAAGTCAGTCAGAATTTGACTTGGTATAAGAGTCTAGCAGAGATTGTGTAGTGTGTAAAATCAAAAATAATTCTGGTATTAAAGTCATACCAAACAAGTAGAGACATTCTTTTTTTTTTTTGCACCTTGTAAGTCTCCTTTTAGCAGAAAACTGTCAAGATTTGGGATATATCTTGTTAAAAAATTTATTTGCAAAAAAGTTACACATTTTTTCCCAAGAAAGTTTGTACTTGGTCTCCCCAAAAGTACAATTTGTTCTACTGTTTACCGCTCTAATTTGAACTGAATTTGTTTTGTAGCTATCCCTTGAACAACAGTGATCTGCATCAGTTCAACATTGAGGAGAATGGTGGAGCACCATATACCACAAAAATGCCTGCAAGGCACCACCACCACCACCGTCATCACCACCACCATGGGAATTACGGCCCCCTTGCTCCCGACAGCAAGGACATTGTTTCTGGAGTTCCAAACCCAAACAGTAAGTTCACTGCAGTGAATGTCATTTCAGTAACTGTGCTGCTTTCAGAGTTGTCTCTGGCAAGCAGGGAAAAGAAAGGAAGAGAAAACAACATGTGTTTCAGTTTTTCTATGAAGAGTATGCTTCCTTTTATTATTTGCTAGCTTTGTACTGTGTAGGAATGAGACAATATTTGCAATTTCCTGGCTTTGCTATGGGGTTGCAGGATTTGGTGCTAGATTGGTGTTCCATAGGCTAAACAAATAACCAATTAGTCACAGATACTGAGCCTCTAGCTACTTGACACAGGCTATTTTTTTGTTGTTACTATTTATTTATACAGTTTCATAAACCTCTGCTCATCTGCCATTGTCTTTTGCTGATCTGCCCAGCTGGCCTTCAGCCTTCCTTGTTTGTGTCTGACTCTTGCTTTCATGTCTGGGCACAAAATGGCAGAAACTTTGGAGCATTAGACAAACAGCATCTTGCTCTTAGTTTGGGTAATGGGAACGGTTCCTGCTCAGCCCCTGCTACCGCGACTTGAGTATGCTCACTTGTTCGGTGGAGAAATTCTTGGTATGTAGAAAGCAAAGAGGGGAGAAGCCTATCTATTCCTGGTGCAGCTTTGCAGAGTTTGGGTGTAAGTCTCTGCTACTCAACATGTACAGGTTTTTTTAAGGGTACATAGCTCAGCCAAATGCTTGTAGGTTTACACAGGAACTGGAAGGGAAACATCCCTGCTATTGAGCAATCCTACTTCTTGCTCTTCAAATATATTCTCTCTGCACACTGCAGTGTGCGAGAGGCTGAAGCTGTGTAAGAACTTCAGAAGATGGGAAAACAAGGTGCAATCTATTATTTTCGTTGCCTCAAGGGGATGATAAGTTCTTCCTTTACCCAGTTTTTGGCTTTATAATTGTAAATCACCCTGAGATAGGTATCCATTATGGAAACTTTCAGCCTGGGCAGTTAATCTGACAATTTTCAAATTCCTGAAACCAGGATCTTGTCATGGATGGTGCTGAGTGACCTTGACTGTAGGTTGTCCCACCTCAGCAGTAATGCACAGGCATCTACTTGCCTATGCACTTTAATCAGACCTTGTTTCAGAAACTCAGAAACATTTTCTTTAATATTTTTTTTTTCCCCAGGAGAGGGAGATAACAAGTTTTAGGAGGGAAGCTGAAGAAATAATTAAAATGCAAGTAATTGTAGAGGTTTAAGGAAGGAATCCTAAGCAGCAATACCAATTGTTTGACGGGGCTTTCAAAGAAGCTACTCTCTTAGGGGCAACCTTCAGGAGATGTGCTGTCTTTCATTGTTTGTATGCTGGGGTACCTTTGCCCTGGGGAGGCCATGGGGCTGGCATGTCACACCACCAGCATGGCCTCCCAGGCCCATGGCCCAGGCTCCAGAGACCCAGGGCAGGCCTCTGGGCTCTCCAGCACCCCTGACGGGGTATCTGCATCTCGGCCGTGATCTGTGATGACCGGCATAGTCTGTATAATAGTGCCATGGGGGGCATGCAGCTGGCTGGGCCATGGCCGGCGGGTCACAGGGCCACCATGAGCGGCTGCTGAGTGCTGGCGGCGAGGCTGAGCTGGAAAGCCTGGGCCGGGCTGTCAGCCTGGTGTGGCGGGAGGCGGTGACCTTTCTGGGGGTTGTGCCAGCTCCTGTTTGTCTTTCCCAAATTAGAGCTGAAGCATGCCAGGAAATTCAGTCAGAGATGGCTATGCTGCTGGGTGTCCTGGCCCTGAGGGCACTGCAGGCTCTATTGCCCCTTTCATTCTCCTCCTGGGGGCTCCCCCATCCTGCCCAGGGCCTCAGCCTCAGAGCTCCAGCTCCCCACAGCCCTGCCATGGGCCCTGCCACAGAGCAGGTGGCAACTAAAGAAACAGCAGCAAACAAACACAGCACATGCTGTTTCTTCCAGCTCTGCGTCTCCTCTGAGGCTTTCCTGCTCTCCTACTCCTCCTTGCTGGGGAAATAAGCTTAGAAAAAAAGCACCAGGGCAAACATCAGGAGTAGCTGTGTTTGTGGCCAGCATGAGTTACCTGAGAGATGAAAGGTGAGGCCCAGGAGGCTGTGTCCCCCCAGGCCCTGCGGTGCCTCACCAGCCTGTCCGGCAGCTGCCATGCTCGGAAGGGGCCTTGGGCAGCTGAGACATGCATGTGCCACCTACTCCCGGAGAGAGATCTATCTCTCTCTTCATTTTGTCTGCTCATGGCTGGTTCATGCTAGCTATGTGAAGGGATCGGAGCAGGTTCCTGACGTGGCCTAATGCCAGTAGTGCCAAATGCCAATTCCCGCTTTCCCTAAGGGAGCAGAAAGGGGACAGGGGCACCTCTGAGGGGAGGTGGTGGTGCGGGCATGCCGGCTGCATCCAGCCAGGCTCTTCAGGTGGTTTTGCATCCCGTGTGCTGCTCTGTAAGCTGGCTCACCTTAACACAGGCAGGCTACGCTAGACCTGGTGTGCTCAGGCTGTTGTTTATGCCTTTAGAGCGGTGATGGTATAGATAGGACCGCTTCTCTTAAAAAGCCGAGTCAAAGTTACTCACTTGCAGCTTGGAGTTACAGGTCTGGGTGCCTTTTCAAGGTTGGTGCTCAGTGGGTTTGTTTTATTTTTCATGGATCCTTTTAAATGCTGCTCAGGCTATTTCACCTGAGAAAACTGTCCTGTAGAGAGCCTGTGGAAAAGGCTCGTGGCGTATATGCCAAAATGGTTAGGAGCATGCTGACTGTCAGTCACTTATGTAGGACGGCAGACATGGCAGAGTGTGTGGGACAAAGAAACTCAGGCAGAGAGGAGATACCATCAGGGGTCTGTATCAGGAACCTGGGGACAGGGGGGGCTGATGTCTGCCTCCAGGCCACTGCTGGGAAAGTGTTTCTAGGAAGTGAGTGGTCACTAACCTGGGGACACTCTTGGGGAAGAGGGTGCTTGTGACCAAAATAACTCAAGTGGAAATGCCCGGAGAGCCAAAAGGTCTCATGGGGAGAATACACTGTCCCAGTGGAAACTTTCCCCTGAGGCTGACAGGGGGAGTGAGGCTGTGCACACCAGTTTGGCTACCATGTGGTTTTCCAAGGGATCATGGGCATTTCGTGACTTGCAAACAAACCCAGGCCAGACCTGCCTGATTTTTCACATTCCAAGTAATTTGTCTACTTCAATTACTAGAAGAAGTGAAATCCACTGAAGCAAATCTGACGTGTGTTTATGAAGGCAATTCAGCAGAAGATGTTGTTTTCCTGCATTCAGCCTGATTATTGTATTTGCGATGCTGCCCTTCACCTCAGAGCAGATTCACACAGATTGTATCTTTTTATGCAGCAGATCTTCCCCCAATGTATTCGCAGATTCCCAGTCCCAGGGACCGCTGTATTCAAGGGCTGTTAGCCTTACAGCACCAGTGCCGCTGCATAGAGAGGGCAAGACGCTTGCTAAGCCTAATTGGCATGGCAACATCGTGCATGGATTACCAGGTGCACGTGAGCAGATCCCACTGGCAGCAGCTGGGGCTATCACCCAAAGCAGATGCCAACAAATATGCAATGTAGCTTGCAGAATTTTTATGATGGAAAATCATGAACGAGAAGAGGGGGCCCAGCTTGCCTCTTTGAGCTGAGCTTGCAGGTTATCACTTAAAAAAACCCATCCTTTATTCCCAAACTGCTAGCTACAAAAGTCCTTGTCTAACCCTGAGCAGAGAATGGTGTAATACAGGCTGAGTTTCAGGCTGAAAACAGTGCTTTGAAAAACACAGTGCTGCCAGATCCTTTCTTGAAATGAAAGCCTCGTTTTGCCAAGACTTAATGCTGTCTCAGAAATATATGCCTTTTGTAGGACTTCAGCTGTAGAATTTGATCTTGAGTGAGTAATATTTAATATTCTTAGGACAGTTTAAGAACCTGATCCAAACAAAACTGCAGTCAGAGCAAAGTTTTTATTGATTTCAGTGGGTTTTGAATCAGACTCTGTAGTTTACTGGATTGTTCCCAACTGTTACTGCCTAGAATCCATGGCGCAAAAAAAAAAAAAAAAAAAAAAGTAAATACAGGAGAATGCAGGGATTCACAGAATCACAGAATGATATGGGGTTGGAAGGAACTTCTGGAGATCTTCTAGTCCAACCCCGCCCATGTCATGATGATCACCCCCTGTGATGATTCGAAAAATCATCACATGATGGAGCTCATTTTTCTCAGAATACTTGCAAATATACACATATATGCCACACCATCCCCACGATGTTGGCAGAGACCTTTCAGGGCTGTCTCAAAAAATATTTTTGCTTGTCTTTCTGTGTCGGTGGTTTGCTCAAAATCTCTGTTGACAAAGCACAGCAAATTCCTGACAACAATCTTAAAGAGGCTTGCATATAAATAAAGATGTCTGAGAGAAGCCAAAAGCTATATACTCTGATCACTTTACACGTCACATGTTCTGAGAGTGGCACCATGGCTGCATAAATAGTCCCTCTGGTGTCAACTGAGTTTTAGAATATGGGGGAGGTGGAGGCAGGGAGGTAAGGAGAGAAGCATCTAGCCCAGAGCTGGCAAAAGCCCTGCTGAAATGAAAGGGTGGGCAAGAAGGAGGAGGGGGAGGAATTGTTTGCTAAATAGGAAAAGGAAAAATGACCTGACAGGCATAATTATGAAGCACTTTAGATGGTCTTAAAGGGAAGATGGTTTGCTGACAGCTGTCTCTTCAAATGTAGTTGAGTGTCTTGCTCTGCAGTTCCTCTGTAGCCTCCCTTCAGACTGTTTTTTTTCTTTCTTTCTTTTGGGCATCTTTTTAGAACTGAGCTCAGGACTTCCCCTTCTTTATGATGAAACTTCTCATCTGAAGAAAATAGAAACGGAGAGTGTGAAGGTAGTTGGACCATGGCCAGCCCTGCACGTCAGCATGAACAAGGTATAGCATATACATATATACTTTTACATATATATGCTGAAGAGTCCTTTTGTCACTTCATATTCAAAAGCTGCTGCTTTTTCACTGCCAATTCAAATCAACATTCATCTGCAACTGGCTTGCTTTTTAATCACCTCTCACCATCTCCTGTGGGACTGGGGTTTGGTTTTTAGGTTTAGCATTTCCTCCAACTTTGCCTTTTAAAATTTCAGAAGCTGCTGCAACAATGTTATGATGTAGTTTTAGTTTAGTTGTGAAGTTAGTCATCCAGGCAGCCCAGAGCTGCTAAGAAATAACAACACTTCAAGTGATAAAAAAAAAATCTTGTTTTCTACATGAGGAGTCTGTGTTATGCCTTAAAACCCCTCTGGCATCTAATGTTAGTGGGTGTTTTATGAGTGAGGTTTTGCAGGGGTGGCAAAAGAGCCGTGTCCCACTGTTTCTGACAGAGATCAGAGGCCACCAGGTTGGTGCCTCCTTGTATCCATGCGAGGCAAAATCCATTGTGCCTGCACTGTGGGTTGCCTTGAGCTGAGTCTGGATAGAGCATAGAAACCTGGAGCTCTGGTTTGCAATCACATCACTCCTGAGCTGAACCCGATGAAGTCAATGAAAGCGTTGCCACTGGCTTCAAATGAGGGGTCTGGGCCCAGTGACTACAGACCTGGTAAAAGAAACGTGTTTTGAGAGTTTTCTGCTAGTTCAAGGGAGAACTCAATTAAATTACTGTACCTTGGTTTTACAGACAGCCTTTGTTACTGATATTATTTCAACAAGCATTAGGGAACTTAAAATCAAAGGGGAGGTGACAAACTGTATCAAAAAAACAAGCACAAAAGGGCTGTATATATAAATGGCATAATCTTTTTTTTTTCTCTGATGGGAGGATCCAGGAAATGGGAATCAAGGCTGAAAATCAGTGAGTCAGATGTTTCTGATAAAAAAAGAAATCTTGGTATAGTTTTTTTCAACATTCTAGTTAATTGAAATTAAATCATAATGCAGTGGATTTTCCAGTATGCAGATTTTCTTGAAGAACCATGTTCAAGGTGTGTCATGGGGTGGTGGGGTAGGTCAGCTAAGGACTGCAGTCGTTATGCCTTATGAATGTGGTCATGAGACAATGACCTATATCATGACTTTTGGAGACTTCTGAATGAACAGGTGAAGGTGGAATATTTTAGACTTTTTCCCAAATCTATTTGGTTATCAGCTGTGAGGACCTGTGATTTTATGTCACTGGTAGGTTCGAGTGGGGTTAAAAAGTTAAATCATAAAGTAGACAAACTGAAGTGAAATGGAAAAGAAGTAATCTTTTTCCCATGGACATTTCTCAAGTTCTTCTTCTAGAAATACTATTAACTGGTAATAAGTACAGTTTTTAATAGGCAAAGCTAATTAAGCATTGACATAGTTTGCCAAAGGAAAATTCTCCATCTCACAGATTCACCCAGTGAATACCCAGGTCTTGTGAGAGGAGTTCCTCTAGTTCAGATGTAGTTACTGATACTCTGTCTTGACCCCAGCTGAGAACATTCACTTAGGTACAATGTCCAAAGCATGTTTTAAAGGATGGTCCTACAATGTTAAGCTTATTGACAGCTCATTTTGGCGTATATATGAAGGACTAACATGAAGAAGTTAAGCTTATTGACAGCTCATTTTGGCATATATATGAAGGACTAACATGAAGAAGTGAGAGGACTCTCCATGTTGACCACAGTGCACAAGCAGATAAACCAGTCTGGCCTGTGTTGCACGAAAGATCCAAACAGATTGTCTCAATGGTAGCCTTGAGATCTCAAAATGAGTAGATTTATGGTCTTTTTTCTTTATTTAAATGAAATCTTAAGACACTTTGGTCCTGCATTCCACCATATTGTGCAAGTAGTCCCAATACAGTCCCTGCAACTTCTGCCTGGCAAAACCTGGCCTCTCATCCTTTTGCTCTTCTTTCTTCTCTGAAAATCTATGGAGAGACAACTCAGCTCTTCTATAATTAATGGTTTTCTTTGGCTTGTCCTGACAGCTCTAGAATTTTGTCCACAGTCAGAGGGATTATTTATTTAAGGACTAATTAGCAAAACCCAGTATCACAGCAAGTCAGTGCTTCACAATAAAGCAGCTGCACAGTAAATGCAGCCTGCGCCTGATGTGGTGAGACTTCCATCAGTCAAAGTTTAGCTGATGAAAAAAATCTTTCAATGAGCACCAGGAGCTGCTAAATGCTTGTTTCTGACAGAAGCTCAGCAGAAAGAGTGAGCTGTCTAATGAAAACCTTCTCCTGGCAGTCATAAAGAGCTTGGGTTTAAGAGTTGGGTATCAATCCCATGAACAGCAGCTATCATGTGAATGCGAAGCAGGTCAGTCCCTCAAAATTTATTAAAATTGCCATTTTAGGCCATCTGAAAATTGTACATGCTCTTGAAATGCGCCCAGAGTCATCACTGTAAAGCGCCTCAGTGATCAAGCCCTCATATTACAGGCTGTGGGTTGTAACTGACAAATCATTCTGAAGTTCTTTTGGCCCCTCGCTTGTGGTTTCTTCTTCAAGCACCATTTTCTGACCTAGATCCATGTGAAATGTGTACACAGAGCTTATAAAGCTAAAACAAACAAACTCCGCCTTTGAGCACAGAGCTTATAAAGCTAAAACAAACAAACTACAGGTCTTTGAGAGGAGCCTGGAGTTGCCTCAGCAGATGGCTTCTCCAATGAAACAGAGTGAACATGCTGTAGATGTTGGGCTAACCCTTCGGCTGAAGTGCTGTGGAGCGTTGCCTGGCACAAAGGCAGCGGGGCAGGTTAGACAGGATTTAACAGTTCTGAACTGTAACAAGCATTTTTCGCTATGAGTGTAGCCTTTAAAGCTCTTTTGGTTATGGTAGTTAACTAGCTACTCAGTCCAGAAGTGAACAGATTTTAATAAAGTGGTTGGTGTACTTAGTTTCTGGCAAAAAAATGAAATGTTAACAGTTCCCCTGCACCACTCCATTGATTTCTATTCTACTAAGTGCTTTTTATTCCCTAGTTTTGTGTCCTCTGAAATATTATGCTTAAACAAAACCGGTGAAGCAGTTAGGATGCTGCTTCATTTGCTCTATTTCTGAAAATAAAGCAATGGTTTCCACATCTATTGTGGAGTCCCAACTTTCACTCCCTCTCTTCTTGTTGCTAATTATTGTTTTTTCAAGTAAAGTGCTTTGGGGCTGGAATTTGTCAGGCTTAATAATCAACCCATAGGAGAATTAACAAGAAATTGGGTAAATTAGATTCAGCAGTTAATTAATTTGTTTGTCTGCTACAGCAAACTTTGTCTCATGGGAATGATGAATGGACGTGTCCAATCTCTTTTCCAGAGCTGTTTGGTCCAGTGGACGTGTGTGTCCACCTCCTGAATAATAAAAGTCAGTTTCAACATGTGTTTCATGCCCTTCAGTGCTAGCGGGCTCTGAAATCTCCAGGAGAGACAAACTCCAGGAGAGAGGAGTTGTGGCTGTGAATGTATTTCTGATTCGCTTTCTTGCAAGCCTTTCCTTAGAAAAATATGTTCTCCCATCAACCCTTGATACGTGTGTGTGTGTGTGTGTGTGTATGGAAAATATAAAGCCAAGAATGCATTGTTAGCATTTCTGAAGTCTTGGGAGTCTAGTAATTATTACATGCAGATACAATTATTGCATAAAAAGAAAGAATACAAATACAGTTCAAATTGTTTCTACCCCCTTTCCTGGTGTTATGCTCACCCTTCTCCTACACCTCTGGGTCCTAAGGTTGGGACTTCATTCTGGTGGGGTCAGAAAGGTTGTTATGATGGTCGTGTTCATGGTTTCTTCTTCCTCACTCTACAATCCACTTTGGCTCCTTTTATATGTTTGCAAACATGCTTTTATACCTTGCTCCTTATTCATTGATCTGCATCTTCACCCAAATTTACTATATGTACTTTTACATATTATGCTAGATACTATATCTTTGCTCTCTTCATTGGCCCTAAAGCCAGTTTTGTCTGGGTCCAGGACTGCACTTCTTTAACTGGCCACTGGTGAGTTGTTTATAACCAGGGGGTCTCTAGGGCCAGGCTGTGCCCCTTGCGTTATTGCCCCATTCCTGCGCTCCTCTACACTACTTCCTGTCTCTCCACTTCTCCAGGCCTCTGGTATCATACAAGCCCCGCTGTGTTGCTTTATATTACACCCTTGTGTTAGAGTCATAATTATCTCATTCTACAAAGCATAACTGCTTGTGTTACTGCTTTCTATATAAAACTACTTCTGTTACAGCTAAACCTAGTAAAACAAAACTGTAGGCAGACCAAGAAGGGTTCAGGCAGAGGAAGCATGATGAGCCTCAATGGCTTTGCAAACTCTGTTCAAAGGTTATGGCCGTTTGCTAGGATGGTAATACCATATTACAGGACTACCCAGTTAAATTACTGACTGCTTGCAAAAGATACCACCTGCAAAAAAGCTGTGGAACTACCTGCCCTGTGCGCTACTGCAAAGCCTAAGTCTACTACAGTTCCAAAAATCATTTGTGGTTTTAAAAAAGCCCACAAAGCCAACTCTGTTGATGTTGAGACTCTTCTGTGTGATACACTGATCAGAGGGTACATCCCAGGAAACATGGCTACCCAGTAAGGCTATAATGAAGATAGCTTTACTGATAAAGATTAGATCCTGACAAAGGCAGGATCTAATAATATTGAGCAATAGCATTTTATAAAATCAATTAGATACCAGGAACTAAACAGGTTTGTTCCAAGGATATAACAATATTTATTGGGAGTTATATCTTTCATTAAACCAACTGATAGTTGACCTGGGGAAGGTCTTGTGTATCTGACAGCCCAATGAGAGTTTGTTTATTTGTTTTTCAAAATGTATTTTTCTAATAAGAGATGCAGCTTCTCCTTGCAAATTTTGCCTCAAATAAGAATAACACATAGTCATACAGGTCTTATTGTTATGGTGTCTGTTCATAATTGGTATTCGCCATCACATGGAAAAAATCAATAAATCTCCTGGTGGAAAGGGGGCAAAAGAGTCTGTAGATTTTCATGCACATTTGCAGATGTAGTTGAGTCCCAGGAAACCAAAGGGTTTGACCTCACAAAGCTAATGTGCATTCAGAACCTGTATGTCTGTGTTGTCTTCATGAAAATTTTAATTCCCACTAGTAGCGATGACTAGCAACAAAGAATAGACCTGTGTACCTAAACAAAATAGTAATTCTATTCTTCAGACATCCCCAGATAAATGCGTGTTTTAAACATACTGTTTGGCTAACAAGACACTATTGATAAATTCACAGAGGCAAAAGGTCATGAATCTTACTCTTAGAATGAAGTTTGATGTGGAACAAAGCACGAACCTTTCAAAGCAGAGAGAATGTAAGTGTGAAGTACAGGAGTGATATTGCTGGGTTTCATGCAACTTTGTATTCAGCATGTGTGCTTAATATTCAGTTAGCTTTGCAAACCAAAGCCACTGTCATCATTATCTCACACTGTACAAATCTGCTTTTTGGTTCCAGTATCAGCAAATGTAATTCAATTTAAAGTAAATGTTTGGGAGGAGAAAAGCAAACCTAAGACCTCAATTATAAAAAGAAAAAAAGGCATCTGGTTTTATGTGTATATGTATCTGAGCTTGCTCAAGCCATTTCTATCAAACCCATTTACATGCAATTCTCCAGTGTTTTTCCTTCTCTGGAAAAATAGTTCTGCATCAGTGGTGAAAGTGATGTGAACACATTGCTATTTTTTAGCACCAGCAGAACTGGAGATGGAAAATTGGAGTGTTATCAGGTATCTTAACTTAATGGATTTTTTTACTCCTTTCTTAACCTTTTAAGATGAGTTTAGATTACCATTTTAAGCAAGAAGATTACTTCTTTCAAATGCAAGTTTGACTCTCAGACATTCACTTGAAAGAGGCATCTCAGATTCTTTGGAATTACATAGTGATAAATGATAAAATTGGAAATTTTATTAACATTATGCCATGTTTAGTTTTCTAGTTACTTCCATGTAGAATGCTCTTAGTTTATAAATGAAAATAAAATTTTAATAACTGCCAACCTGGTACAATGTTGGAATACCCAGCTGCTATCTTTATGCTTCACTCATCACTGCAAGTGATAAGGATTCTGGAAATCTAAGATTTCTTTATTATACAGCAAAATAAAGTAGATTACAGCTTTCATTCTTGAAGCAATAGTATATAGATATTCCTAACATAGGCACATTTTAGATCTTTGATTTTCTTATAAACTAGTGAATTGAACCATAGAAGGTACTGTATGGTTTTGTATAGTCCTGAAATATTTTTCTTTTGATGATAATTATACTTTAGGAGTTGAATTGGGGAATGAATGGGTTTAAATGTAAAGTTTAGTGACATTAAGGAACAACAGGAACATACATGCTTAGAAGTGCTAATAGTCTGCAGTAAAGAGGTGTTGCTTTGTTCTGTGATTTGAGTTCACTTTTAGCCTGGAACATCAGTGCCACTGACTATGTGTGTAATAGCCTCCCCTAATCAGCTGTGTGAGAGCAGAATTCAGTAATGACTCGGGATGCGCTGCATTGTGGCGGAAAAGTCCATCGTTGCCAAGGCAGGCTGGCAAAGAAGCCTTTCACAGATGTTCAGAAGCTAGAGGAGGTCTGGGTCGGGTCGAGCACTCTCCAGCCCCATATGGGGTTTGTGTGCAGGTAGCGTTTCCACTGGGGCAGGGAAAGGTGGTGGCCTTTGGCTGCTGGCTCAGCATCTTGGTAAGCAGGATGAGGCCAAGCAGCAATTGGAGCAATGTCTGCTCTTCGTGTGTCATCAGGTGTTGCTGCTCCTGTTGAGGTGCAAGCAAAGCAAATTTTGCTTGGCTGAAGGTGAAACTCCTAAAGCGTGACCCAAACAAGGGCTAAAGCAGAACTGAGTGCCCAGGACCTTCTAAGAAGTTTACAACCTCCAGCAGCAGCAGCAGCTTTCCCTTTTCAGCCAGGACAGCAAGCACCAGCCTTTGGACCTCTCAGGTTATGAGAACCTCAGTGCGAGACTTCACATCAGATCCTGCACTGGGGACAGTCTCCATTACATGGAGTCATCTGGTATAATCCTGAATATAGCAGGAGATTTAGACCTTTTGAGGATTCTAGCTACAGGCCAGCCCCCAGGGCTTCTATGTTGCTTTCGGCCAATGTGGAGAAATTGGGCAGGGGAGGAAGAATATAAGGACTGAAAAATATTCCATATCCATTTGTCTAAAAGATGGACCCAACTTTGGAACTTTTTGAGTTATGAAACAAGCTTATGTCCTAAACAAGCACCAGTTGTCTCGATTTAGCTAGTAAAATACAGTTGCTTAATTGTGTTTCACTGAAATGATATTTAATTAGTGTCCAGTGTTAAAACAAAGGTGGGATTTTGCATGGCTTTTAGAAATGCCACTGCTTAGTGTGTTGTTCTTTCTGTTCTTGGAAATCAGTACTCTTAAAAGTTGACAATAATAGCAGCCATTTTAAAGTGTGTAATAGTGCACTGAGGTTACCAAGACTATTGGTGAAGGAAAAGTTGTGATTTCTTTACAGTTAATTTTGCTTTTTGTGTATCTCTACTTCAGCTTCTACAGCTTCATGAGTGCCCCAGAAAACACATGTGTGGCAAACAAATATTTCACAGTTTTTTTCACATGCTTGCCTGAACTACCGTTATTTTCAAGGCTGAATAGGTGACTACAGTTCCATAAGCTGCTCCAGCTAGATGCTATCACTTTTCATTTTAAGTATTTTCTTTCCCCTTAGGAGGAAAGTGGGGAGAATGAAAACTCAAAAAATATCTTCCACCAAACCCAGTAATCGTGGCTCAGCAAACAAACATGTAAGAATTTTTTGCCAGAGACAAAAAAACTCATGATGCGCAGTCCTTTAACAGCCAGTTTTTCAAATTCATACCTGGCAGCTATGGCATTTTGGATGATGAAGTCTGCTGGACCAACTCTGCTTACACATGAGAAATATTTTGCAGTCTCTGTAGAGTTCTGTAGAGGTCTGGCTCTTTCCCTCTCCAGTGTTTTCAGAACAGTTTCCTCAGGCAACATAATTGCATTTGTGATTTGCCCCACTTCCAGAAATTGTCCCCTGAATTTTGGTGTTCCCTTTTTCTGTGATTGTTTGAGGACCTGAGAGAAGAGTCAATAAGACTGTAGTTAGCATCATCCAGGGGGGTGTCATGGGGCCGGGCAGAAGGAAGGACAAAGGAGGCGGGTTTTGAAGTTAAAGGGCTAATCATACGGTAATTTCAGTGACTAAAAAATAACCGGTTCTGAGTTGAAATATTTTGCCAGGGGTGAACCTCAGAGATGCGCTGGACCTGGTTTACTGATGCTATTTACAGGTTTTGGCTGAAATCTGAATGACAGCATTACGTGTCTGTTCTGTCCGGGTGTATGCCACCACGCACTCTTTGCAGCGCTGAGAGTGGAAAATAAATGCATGATCAAGGCTGTTATTCAGTTGTAACTCGGGTCTCATTTCCAGGAAGAATAGGAAAGTTTGCAATGGCGGTTATGCCATTGTCCAATTCTTCTTTAAAATATATAAGATATTACAGTTTGAGTGTTTAAGAGTGTGTTTAGAATCCTGGTCTCATTCACACCCTGTTTGTTTATACATTAGTATTACATTGTCCTTTTTTCTTTCTATTTTTTTTTCTTTTCTGCACGGGAAGTTTATTTGTGCTGGCATTTCTGCTGGCTGTAGTTTGTTCAAGGCACAAAACCTTCAGTTCACGTCTGAACAGGTCACTAAACTAGCTGTCCTGAGGCTTTACATTTCTGATCCAGATCACTGCATAGGTAAAGGGTCGGCATCAAGTGGAAAGAGCAGCAGCAATGTTTAAACTCCCTGGACTTTTCTTTCTGATGAAGAAGATTTTGCTTGGCTTGCAATTACATGAAGATACCCTTGGATCCCTCTGGATAAACTTGCAAGTTTATCCTTTACATTTTAAAGGTGGTGTAAGAAACCAGTGTTCACTATAGTTGAGTGTTGTGAGTCTTTCTTCTGCCTGCAGTGCGATATTTTGAGACAATGTTTTGCTTCCTCAGCATGATCACAGGTTTGGGCAACCACTCCAGGGCCTGGCTGGGCTTTTTCCATGTATCTTCACATCGGTTTCTTGCTTCCATCACTCAAGCTTCCCAGAGGCTTTTCTTATCTTTAAAATATTATGAAGCCATTAAATATTTTGAAAACCTTTTATCCTAAGATCTATCTATCAGGGTATGAACACGGAAATGTTATCCCGTATTGCTAAATCAAGTTGCTAAATTAAAAATTTGATCTTGGACCATTTTATTAACTTCTTTTTCTAACATATGTCACTGTGCTTGCCTTTTATATTTAATATAGGGTGAAGACAAGAAAGTAGCTGAAAAGACTCTTCATGCCCCTGTGTCACCTTCAGCTGTACCTGACCATATGAAGTGCAACATCCTTAAAGCTCAAGTGGAAGCTGCTTTTCGAGTAGGCACCCAGGTAATCTGTGTTTAATACTTCGCCTTTCTACTTTTGGCATAGCTTACGCCGATTTTCCAAAATCACGTCGTTCCTGAGGAAGCACCGAATTTTATCTCATGTATCCACATTGACCTAGCTTTCTCTAACTGCTCTGCAGTTTTTTCAGGTAACTCAAAATTATTGATATGATAGAAGTAGGAAATTTGTCCAAACTGACACCATTAATACAGCTGAGAGAGATTGAGAAAACGGGAGAGAAGGCCGCAGGAAATATCCATGTTTTGATTTTATCACTGTGGCTTTTACTTACTTTGCAGCTGAGAAACAATAACCTCTGGAGTATCACTCATGGAAACTCTGTTTTAAGGGTGTTCTAAGGATAAAGTCTATACATACAGCTGCAACATTTATTTTAGGGGTTTAACTTCAGATGCCTGGATATGAAATGTTAGCTATCCTATTGTTTTCTTACTCATTTGTGTGCTTGTAACTAACTTTTAAGCTGCTATTTTCACTGCTTGGTCAGTGTTTACATCGGATATAGCCTGCTTCAAAGACACCACAACCCTCAAAGTGTAATTTGTGGACAAAAGATAATGCCATTTGTGCCAAAAAAATAAAGCCAAATAGAATGCTCTAGGAACAAAGGAAAGATTCGTATGACTCTTACCCCAAGTTCCTGTGGTATCTTTGTGCATACTGTTCTGTTTGAATACAAATTATGTTGGTGTTTCCATCGCTTTGTTTCTTTTCACAATAACATATCAGGTCAACTTGCCCTGCAAAGGATTTTGTTAATAGTCATCTTTGTGTATTTGTTGTTCCCTGGCAGATCTTTCATCCGAGAGGTAGATTACATCTGGTCTAACTAGACCTAAGGAAGCATCAAAATTTGGTTATGCTGACTGCCCTAGATTTCAAGAACAGAAACCATAAATCTGACAGCATGTGGGGGAGGGAGGTTGTGTTTTTTTCTTTTAGTTTTTGCTTAAAGCAGTTCTCTCACCTCTCCGAATGTTGTATCAGCTGTGTTTTATGCAGCATGTTTCTTGTTTGATTGCCCTTGGGTTTGCCCTCTGTTTTTCCTGTGTGTCTTTTCTGCAGGATGTCATGGTGTATTTCTCACGTTTGTGTTTTCTCCTGAATATGCTTAATGGTCATTCAGCTGTGTTTTATGCAGCATGTTTCTTGTTTGATTGCCCTTGGGTTTGCCCTCTGTTTTTCCTGTGTGTCTTTTCTGCAGGATGTCATGGTGTATTTCTCACGTTTGTGTTTTCTCCTGAATATGCTGGATAGTTTGACTGGATAGTTAAAGACTGGAAGCAGTGTGTGCTGCTGCATAGAGAAAACAGCATTACTAAGGCAAGATAGGAAATGTGCTTAACATATGCATCTCTCAATTCACCTGCCCTGCCTTAATTTTTCACTCTGAAGCTTTCCAAGGGAGTTGCTTTTTCCTGGGCTGCATTTTCATGCATGCCATAACTGTATTCTTTAGCTGCTGCTATGTTGTAAATAAGTTTCAGAGCAAGCTGAGCGTTCCATATTCCCTTCTTACCTGTGTTGTTTTGCAGAAGTCTTTACCACTCAGATTGGATTAATTAGGTGTCTGTAGGCTTGTCCTCAATGAGAGGAGTCTTATGATTTCAGAGGGAAGGAGGGGAAAGAAGACCATTGGAGGATAGCACATATTGTGGAAAATAATGGCATATGGTTCAGTTTGAAATCCCTGAAGCTTTCAGTGCTAATGAAGTATGGCTTAAGAGTTACAGTCAGTAAATTAGGATGTCACCTTAATCTTGGAAGTCCTCATTCAACTCTCTGCTTAGCCACAAAATTGTATGTGCAACTAGAGATGAGTTCTTCTGCACTTGAGCTCCCCTCCTGTCAAGTATGAAAGATTACCCTTCTCAGATACATTGCAAAAATCAGTAGGCAGAGACCAGGCAATGGTCAGGCATTACAGTAAGAAGCTGTGACTACAGAATTGCCTGGAAGGGTAGGCAAAGGGCTCGTGGTGAAGGAATGAGGAGAAACACATCATCTATTACCTAAAAAATGGGAGGAGGGATGGGCGCTACAGGAGACTCCGATAAACCATCATATCAGCGTACCGTAAAACCACACAGTTATCTTCTCCACCCACCACCACCACCCCCCCCCAAATAACTAACTGAATAGCAGTAGCTAAAGCCACTTCCCAGTGCCAGTTCAGTCATCTTCTGGGATAAGTGAGCTAGGATGACTTTACACTGCTCAGAGACACTTACAGCAGCCTTTTGAGGGAGCAGATAAGAGATACTTTCTTCACAGAAGACAACCGTTTAACTCCATGTATTTCTCCAGGGCTGTGATCCTGACCCTCTTTGACCCCATCTGACAAATCCCGCTGCCCAGTATATCTGGAGGACTAACCATGTTATCCTCTGCCCAATTCTATCTTTTGATGCCAGCTCCATATTAAATCCCTAAGACGTCCTGCCTTCTGGCCTTATTCTTAAGACTCCAATTTCTCATCTCTTGTTTTCTGTACTGTCAGAGTTCAACCTACAAGGCAGCCAGGGCAAGAAATATATTTAGGTTCTGTAAGGCACAGCCTATATTACTTGAGCTGTAAAGCAAGACAAGCAATTTTCCTCATGTACAGCATAGATCTTCCTTTGTTTCATGGTATCACAAAAAAGATGAGGATTTGCTCCTCTCTACTTTGCAAAAGGAAGAAGAAAGAACCAGACTCTGTCTTATACACATGGTATTTGAAATGAAATGTTCTTTTAAATGCTCCAAAAATCTATGGACTGACTTGTTCTTTATGAAACTTCATGGGGCATCTTCATTATACCGTTAGGTGTAAAAGCATGAGAAAAATATTGGTGCACTGTAAGATTGGATCCAAAATTAACAAACTGTTGCTTGAAATATTTGTAACAGCTCTCTCTCTAAGCAGTAGGAATATTTTCAGTACCATATGCTACTAACATCAGGATGTGACAAGTTTATGAAGGCACCTCCTGCATGTAGTAGAAGAAGCTGTTCCTTGTTAATACTCAGAATGGAGTGAATATTTGCAAGTGGAAAATACAAACTGGGACAGAAATTTTCTGTAGTTTTCTTTCTTTACGGCAGCTAGACACCAGCACAAGAGAGAGCCTCAGAAATGAATGATTCTAGTGCTTACAATTTCAAAAATAAAAACAGGCGAAATTATGCAAGACATTTGAAAACATATTCTGGAGGATGGTCTCTGCACTGCTTCATTTCAAAATTATGCTGAAGAGCTGTTTATTGCATTCCTGGGGGGCAATGCAACATCTCCCATGGCTATAGTCCTGACTTAGAGACCGAAAAATTGTAAGTTGATGGTGCCGATCACTGAGCCCTGCATGAGGTTTAGAGTTATAGAGCAGCAGGAAGCTAACACGAGTGAGTTTGTTTATTTGGTGAAGATGGAAATATTTATGTGCCATTCTGCTAACTGGAGAATCAGAGTACAGTGTGCATGGGGATGCTGGAACCTGAATCCAGGAGTATGCCACCTCAGACACCACAGGTTAGAAACGTGAGGAACCCACACGTGACTGGGAACCTGTGGTTTGCACAGGGCATGCCACAGAGTATCTGTAGGTCTAGAGCAAACGAGTAGTGTTTCACAACACACCTTTCAAACTGTGCCACAGGGATCTGCCACCTTCTAGCTGACAGACTGCATATCACAGTTCCCACATAATTAAGCTCCAGGGGAGCACTAAACACTGTGAAACAACTGACATCTTTTCTTCTTTTTTTTTTTTCCTCCTTTTTTTGCACTTATTCCGGACTCTTCATTTGAGAGGGAGTGGTATAAAGCAGCAGTGAGGAGCTGCCAGAATACAAAAGACCTGCTCTCCCTGGCATTTAAAACCCCTTTGCAGCTTGCATGAGTCAGTGCTGATATACTGTGATTGAGCAGACGACTTGTTAGTATCACAAAGAGTCCCTTTTGCCAAACAGTTCATGGCCCACTAATGGAGGAAAGATACTAGCAGGTTTCGGTTGCTATTTATATTCTCTTTGGCTCCAGCCAAATCTTAATTATTCTTATAATTAAGCACAGGCTCCTGAGCAAATCTACAGCTACCTCAGCAGGGCTTTTTCTTTTGCTGGGCAGTATGTGTTATGTTCTAGTAGTTTGTCTTCTACAGGTGGTGTTTATACTCTCCGCCTGTTACCTAATGTTTCCTAAATCCTTGGGTTGACGTAGGTCTAGCACGTTAGCACAGGGAAGGAACTGAGATCCTGTTTCTCATGGATTTCTGATTTTTGCTTTGCCTGCATCTTTCTCTGCAGACAAGGGGAGGCCATGCTCGTTTTTAAGATACATTTTTTCAGTGCAGTTTATGAAAGACAAACAGAGGTGACATTACCTCTGAGCTGTTCCTCGCTGAACATTGTGGGGTTTTGTTGAGGAAAAAAGCAGTGGGAAAGGGAAGTTTGGATACACAGAGTTATTTACAAAAAGCCATTCACTTCTGCTTTCTCAATCCCAAGGGAAACTCTTGGCTAGCAAAAGGTATCTTCCATCAGCCAGGTTTGGGTTCTTAAGCAATTGATTCCCCTGCCTTGATTCTCAGTAAACAAAGGGACATTTAGGCTGAACAAAGGGACATTCAATCCTGTAGCTCCTTTCACACACTAACTTTCTTCACAAGCTTATACACATGTAAATTTTTAGGCCAGGTCGATAACCATCTCTCTTTTCCCCCCCCTGTCCTAGAAACAAGGATAGACTGATAATCATGTCGGTTTGCTTTAAGTATTGCCAATATGTGAGTAAGTGTAGGTTGCCTGTGCTGTCTAGAATTGCCGGGAGGAAAGGACTGGACTGTGGCACAGAAGATGTCTCAGGACATGCACAGGTACAGGTGTCATCCTCCAGCCTGTGCTCTCTACATAGACGCAGGCCATGGCTGCATATGTAAATGACACTGGGATTTATGCATTATTTATGGTACAAAGGGTGAATAAGTGAGGTGACTCAC